CATGATCATCTTAATTCTTTCAAGAACTATAATGAGGTATCCACACAGCTAAATTTACCAACAACAACGAAAGAAAAAAGGAAGAGATCCAAAGTTAAGATATGCATGCCTGTAATAAACTGGGAATAAGTCCAGCATAAAGAGCTGCAACGCCTCCTCGCTCAACAATCTTGATACAAGTTGCTAATGAACTTAATTTTGTGGATTGGACTTGCATTTGAAGCTGCCTCCTTACCACTTCAAACGGGTAGGTAGTAGCCTCAGCACAAGCACCAGCAATAGCCCCATATAGTAGTGTCCTTATTGGCCCCAACTCAAGCTGGTCGAAGGCATTCAATTCCTGCCCCTGTTTACGCATGTTCTGGATCCTTCTCATTCCTTCGGGCGAATGCAGATATGCAGATTTCAGTATATCATATACTCCATAAAAAACTGCTCCAGAAGGAGCCATACTTATTATCGAGGGCACTAAACCCTTGTAAAGAGAAAAGAACCCTTCAGTGCGAATCATGTAGCGGAAAGCTCCAATTACACCACCCAAGGCTTCCCCACCAGGTGCCACTATCTTGGTTCGAATCTAAAAGACACTACAATGTTAAGACTTCCTAGTAATTACAGCGCAAAATAATAAAATGCAAACAATTTGATTCACTAGAAGACCTACTTTACTATACTTGCATTGACAGCTCACAATGAGGTTGAAGCAAACAAACAGAAACGATGATGCACCATTTTTTCCATGGCAGATAAAAGATGCACACATTTTATGCATTTATGCCAATCATATTATTCCTTATTTATTTGACTTTTAATAAATAATTAAAAAAAATTAAGTTGAAAGAGACCAGTCAACTAGACAGAAGAAGAGAAGAACAAACCAGCAAAACAGGAACAAATTTTACTTCTCATTCGTTTTCAAAATAATATCAGAATAACAGAAAAGCTGCCAACAATTTCCTTCCACGTTCTTTATTGTGGTGGCCTCATATCTTCGTGAATCAATACGAACGTATGCAAGAACCACTTAAGCAACGCCCAGCTTACACTGTGAATAGGACTCCATGAAGGCATTGCCAGGAAACTTTTAACAAAACAAAATTTTTCAAGATTTCTTATTCTCAAAAAGGAACTTTAAGGGTCTTAGCATTCTTCTATCTAAGATGTAAAGAGTAAGAGTTTGACACAAGGTGATTTATCATACTCTACAACTGAATCCTGCATGCAAGTGGAACTGCAACAAAAGTTAACATGTTTAATTAGCTAAAACATGCTCAAATCACCACTCTTAATGGAAGCATTCGGACCTGAAAGGTGCATATAGTTGACAAGCACCATTCATATTTTGAGTGAAGTAACTATGTTCGCTTAACCAGGAAATGTTAAAAGCGCTTAGTTATTTCAACAATCATTCAAACCAAGACCAGGAAACCAGATGGATATTGAGCACGTTGATGGTTGCTGATCCGTTCCAACCACACAAACAGATCAGTATTACAATATGCAATAATTGAAAGCCAACTGGTTGAGAAAATCATCAATAAAGAATTTCCAGATTTATCAATATTAAAGCATAATGGACATATGTGCGTGTTGCTTTGGTTGAGGCAGTAAAGGGAAAAACAAAGACCACATTTTAAGATTTCCACATACAGTGTCAAGTGGTAGGCAAATAATGGTAGCAGTGATTCCAGCTGCAGCACCAGCAATAAACCTCTCAAAATTGGTAGTTTCCTCATTTCCTGACAATCTGAGTAACTGCTTTCTGTATGTATCATAAGCACAAAAGTTAACTGCTTTGAATGGAGCTGTTCGGAGAATATTAACAAGGTTCCCCTTCCAAAAGCCTCTCAATCCTTGAGAAGCCGCAATTGTCTTAATAAGCTCAAAAATATTCTTCTGTTCACCACGAACTATGTATTCCAGCTTAAGTCTTTCAAGTGGGGCAACACAGGTTCTGATAAAGACAAATGCATTGTTATAAAAGCGTAAAAAAAAGTTATGCAAAAAGTAGGCATTCAAATACGTAGACAAAGGCCATGACGAAAATGCCAAGCAATTGTTGGCGTCAACTGAAATTCACTACACTTAACAACGGGAAAAAGTTTATTACATTATTGTTTGTGAAAACAGTATACTTGATTGGCATCTGATACAAATTAAGCAAGTAAAATTGTTGATGTTTCATCGCTGTTGCTATATTAGATCCAAATTGGAGTCAAAAGGGATGGTCTTAAACCATGTATAATGCTGAAAGATATTGTTATAACATCATCGGGTAATTAAGTATAAAACATCAGCCACCCAGAGCTTGCAATAGCATGTGAAGATCATTGATTTATATGTGACATGTGTCACCAAAAGCATGCGACATGAGTGACATGAATTGGTCCGTCTATACCAATCATTTCATTCATTTACTGCATCAATATACATGTATCAATTTCTTCAAAATAAAGCTATTTTCACTTGTAAAAGGTAATATATCCTTCTAAAGGGTTGCGCCACATAAATTTTGGAGCGAGTTGTGACAAGCAAGAGCATAGAAAAGATCATCGTAAGCAAATCACCAAACTGAAAACAGCACTAGAGAGAAAAACAAACGTAGTAGTATGGCCCAAGCCCACTTTCAAGATAAGCACGCTGCAACAAAAAAATATATACCTAGAAACCATGGCAGCAATAGCACCAGCCCATAGATGCTTGGTGGCGTTCATAGCACTGCCGGCTCGCACCCTAACCTTCTGTGACTTTCCTTGCTCAGCAGCTGGGTTGGCACACAAAGCAGCCTTCTCGGAGCTCTCATCTCCATTTTGCACCGCATCTACCTTGGGGTCCCCAACAAATTTACCCCCTCTCAAGCTCGCCGACAAAAACCAACCACCAACCGTAGCCGAGGTCTTCCTCGGTCTCCGGAAACCTCCAAAAACTACAGATTGCTGGGAATAGTGCGCAGAAGAAACCGAACAAGAAGCAGTACCGGGAGGAATTATAGACGAAATCAAACGGGTAAAGGAATCAGGTATCGTGGGTTCGAGAAACAAGCCGCCTACATTGAACGAGGCGGCATCGCAATTAAATTTGAACAAAACTGGAGGACGAGATTGTTCCTGTGAGCAACATAATTCCAGCGGTGGCATTTTCTGAATAAAGGAGTAGCAGTGAAGTTGACTCTAGGGCGATTGAATGCAAAGACATGAGCCCTTTCTCAAGAAAACAAATGGAAATGGAGGACACAATGTGTGAAGCTGAGAGTCACAGCATGAAGGGCGAAAATGGGGCACCATACTTTGCTCTCATCGCCGAGCATAGTAGATTTCCCACCGCGACAAAATTATACTCGCTGTGCTTTCAAATTTTTGCTACTATCCCGTGCCGTGCTCGTCAGACGACAGTAGATTTAGCACAGCAGCACCTTGGCTTTTTCTCTCTCGGCTGGTTCCACCTAATGGAATTATCCTGTGCGCATTAACCTACATACTCTTTTAAGTCATTTTTAATGGTATATTTTATAAAAATAAAAAAAATTTAAATTTTTTTTTCTATTTAATATATATTATATTAACATAATAATAAATTAAGAGTAAAATTGTACATTTATGCAAGAAATTTCTTTTAGTATCCTATAAATAAAACCCAAAAATATATTTTCTCAACCTTATTTTAAAGGAGTAGATGATCACCACGAATTTCAATATTTTTATGAAAACTTAGGGTGTTTGGAATCAAAACTATAATTATAAAAATATTTTTACAATACACAAAATAAATACGTAAAGAGATTTATCTCAATTTCTGAAAAATGGTTTTTAAAAAAAAAACTTTTCATGGTACTCAAACAGCCCCTTAGTCTATAACAACTCTAAATATATTTTAAAAAATTAATTAATTTAATTGTTTATAATAAATATTGTCTTTTTAAAAAATATTTTTATTGTCTGTATTAGAACCATCTTTGATAGAAACATTTAGCAAAATAAATAAATATAAGAGATAAAATAGATTAAGATTATATGCAACTAATTCTTATACTCACAAGCAAAATGAATAAGATTTGATATATATTAACTAGAAATAATTTAAGTGGTCACTTTTTAAAAGAATTTAATTTATTATTTGAAAAGTAAATGTTAAAACTCTCAATTTTTTTTCGAATAAGAAGGCAAGCGAGAGCTTGAAGTACAAACATAGCAAAAAGAACACGCCTAAGTCAGATGCGTCCTGAGACAAATCCCAGCGTTAAAACTCTCAATTTAAACTGCCTAAATATTAGCTAGGGACTCCTCGACCAATGTAGATTTTGCACTTTTTCACCACGGCAAGGAATGGAATTACTTGAAAAAGAAAGCGTGTATTCAGATTATCAAAATATAGTGTTATCTAATAAAATACTTTTATTTTTGTCAGATAAATGAATAGTTTCTGATTAAATAAGGTGTACGATATATTATTATGATTGAGATTTATATCAATTACATTATATTTTATATTAAATATAAATATCAAAATAATTAGAAGCCAGCCTCATCGGTTGCCCTCTCTGTTGTTTTTCTCCAGGCCGAAGAGTCGTTTGCTAGGCTAAAATCGCATGAAAAACACAAGCGAGAGAATAGTGGCACGGTTAAATTATGCGATAAACCCAACCCATGCTGGGTATGCGACGAGCAGACAAGTCACAGGATTAACCTTCCTGTCAAGCGTTTTCCTTTAACAAGTTCCTGGATTTGCGATTATCTGATTTTACCAACAAAAATAGAATTTTACAAGCTTTTGAAAATTGGCTTCGTAATATTATTTCTGCCAGTTTGCTAGCAAAGCAATAAAAATAACGGCAAAAAATAAAATAATGAGTTTAATAGGAGAAGGTAGCAGTTTAGTTCAACATTAGTGGAACGAGTAAGCATTTAATCTACGGCTATGTTTGTTAAATAGAAATGAATTAATGAGAATAAGTTTCAAAAACCACATTAACGTAAAAACTAATTAATTAATTTAAATAAGTTAAAAAAGTTAAATTAATTTATGAGAAAGTAATAAATATAAAAAATTGAATTAAAGTCTTATATTATATTTAGAATCATCATGTAAATGGAATATGATAAAATACCAAAATAAAATCTTATAAAGTGAAAGGAGGAGTGCTGAACATAATCCATGCTGAACGAGGCAAACGTGCTTGATTATTTTTAACCTGGCCTTCACTTGCAATCCCGCGTGTAATGCAAGGATATAATAGACCCCAGTAATTAGTAAAACTATCGCCTCTAAATTGCATTACCAACTTGGTCTTCCTCGAAGGCTCCATGCCCCAACGACATTTGAAATAAAAATTCTCTATACTCTGTAGTTATTAATTTCAACTACCCGTAATCAATTTTTGTTGGCAGCTCAAGGACACAACTGATAACAGCATCCGCGGCAGAAGGCGAAGGTCGGTTCCTCTATCCGGCATGAACAAATAAACTAGAGAGACTCACCACAAGCTGATTAGGAAAAGCAGGTAAGTGAACACAGATTGATAGAGTTGTTCATTGAGTTTTCAGGACGAGCATCAATAAGAAAGTCAAAAGAGAGAGCATCAAGATGACTTGGACAATTAACTCGGAGAGCGCGCAGAGCTTGATTCTCCTGTTGATCGAACGCTGCTTTACCAATTGAATCTTCAGGTCTTCGATTTCTCTCCTTAACATCTTGAGAAACAAAAACGGAGTCAGAGAAACAAGAAGGCGATCAATTAAAATGTGTGAATCTGGAAACAAGGGGATGGAAGAATGATTCAAAAATTAGACCTCGTTGTTATCCAGGGTGAGACCGGAGAGCGATTTCAGGTCGGAAAGGAGGAGGGCAGCTTTTGCACATCGGCGTACCGCCATTTGCGACTTCAGATCCCTGCCTTCGTTTTCCATCTCGCCATCTCTTCTCTCCTTCCCCATTTTCACGTTTTCACTTGATTTGACGGGGGGAAGCCGATTCTCGGTTTTGTAAAATCCGCGGGCATTCCCGCCCAGGCACCTCACACAAACGACGCTTCGGCGCGCTAAAACGGGTGTCGTTCGGGGCTTTAATTTGATGTTTGTATTATTTTATTATAGATAAAATAATTTATCCAAAACTAAAATTACATATTTTTCAGAATAAAAAAATATTTACACAGTTTCAAAAGACATTGAATAAAATTTTGTATATGCACTCTTTCATTTTTTTTTCTTACCGGTAATTTTAGATTTTTACGTAATCAAGAGTGTTGACCGATGAGGAAATGCATAATTAATGTAGGCGTCATTCAAAAGTCAAAACTCAGCTAGAATTTCTTCTTGATTTATTACAAAAGGAGCACGGAGGGGCAGTGGAGGTAACCGAGCTCATTTCGGTCCCAAAAAAACCCCGAGCTCATGATCCAAGAATCAGAAACAATCGGCCCGCTTCACTCTTGAGAAGCCGAGGCGAGGAAGAGGAAACGACTGTCGGACCTTTTTCTTTTTTCTTTTTACCAGCAACTGTTGGAGTTACTTTATGCCGAAGGAACTCTGACGATATAAAAAAAAAAATTACAGTGCGTTTTTTTTTTCCATAGCAGTTTTTTAAAAATAAATAAATTATTAGAAAATTAATGTTTTCATCAATAGAACTTTATATAATTGTTTGAGAATACAAAACAGAAAACATAATCAAGCAAGCATAAAAATTTTGAAATCCCTGAATTTATATTGATTCTATCCTTTATTTTCAAAATATATACAAGAATTACTCGGAAACAAAAAATTATTTCAAAGGGCAAATTACACTGAAGTATTTTGACTAATGTGATGTAAATCGATATTTTAATTTTTAAAAACAAATGAAAAGATTAGTTAATTTCAATAAACTTTATAAGCCCTGGTAAAAAATAAAATTCATAAGAAATTTCACAATACTAGTAGTATTTGCCGGGAGTATTAATTTTTTTTTTTCCCCCAGCAATGACAGACGACATCAGTGCATGAAGCACTGCGTAAATGCAACTGACTTGGTGGTTCCAACACCGAGAAAGAGCTTATGCAATTCCTCCAAGTATGGTACTGGTTCCATCAAAATGTGAAAAAATAGTGGACTTAATGTGTGTTTATCATTTGGAATGGGCGCCCCTTATCCTTTGGATGAATGGGGAAATGAAATGGAAGTAAAGGAAGGGGAGGCTAGACATTATGTTAAGTCATGAACGCCCAGCACGCATTTAATGCGGATGGAAATGCACCAAAAACGTTAGCCAATTAATGCGATTGGCATGTGTGCAGGTCCTTCTGTCATCATATAATCTGTTCGTCTCCCTTCTCGCCTTTAATTTTGGTGGGAGAGGCGTGAACTCATCATCTTCCTCTACTACCACCACCTCATTTCACACGCAAGTATTCTCTCTGCTCTCTCATTTTATATCCTGCCTCATAGCTGAAACATAACATTTGTTTCATTGAGTTTTGGCTTCATACTAAATTAGTATAAAACGTGATTCCTTCTTATCTCTTACATATTAATTATTCCTCTTTCATAATAACCATGTTTGCCAAAGTATTTTTATCCTTTGCTCATTAAATTCCAATCATTAATTGTAAAGATAGTTTTTTTATAAACAATTATAAGGATAATTTTTTTCAAAAAAAAAAAGAAACATCTTCTCTGTATGTCAATTACTACAAATAATCATATTAATTAATTTTTTTTAATTCTAACAAATTAATTAAAAGAATACTCTACTCCTTCCTAAGGGTGGAAACAGGCCAGGCTTTGCTCTTAACAGGCCAGGCCTGTTTTGGAGCCTATTGGCCTGAGCCTGGCCTGTGGCCTGTTACAGGCTTATTTTTCAGCCTGAGCCTGGCCTGTGTAAAGGCCTGGCCTGGCCTGAAGCCTATTAAAAGGCCTGTGTTTTTAAAAAATTCAAATTATAAGAATTATTTTTAAAAAAAGCTAAGATTAAAAAAACGTACATAAAATTAAATTTTTAGTCTTGTCTTTTATTTAAATTTTAGTATCATAACTACTATTTTAAATCTTAATTATAATTTATAAGAATGTTATTGAAAACTAATTGTAATTATATGTTAAAATTTGGAATAAGACTACGTTTAAGTACACACAAAAATTAAAATTAAACAAATAAATAAAGAGAAAAAAATATAATTTTATAATGAATAGAGGATATCATACTTAAATTAACATAATACGTAAGTTAGTTAATTTATCATTCTTGAAACAAAATTTTTCTTTCCTATTTTTTTTATATTTTTAAGATTTAAAAATCACATTATTTATTAATATTATTATTTTAAATTATATTTTTATCTTCACTTGTCATCTAAACTTCGAAATCTAAGAAAAGATTAAGCTATGAACTATATATTAAAATTAAAAAATAAATTAAAAAAACACATTAACAATAATAGCATTAA